GGATCCCAGGGCTCCAACCCACCTGGGGCCTGACCAGACGGGATTATCCTGCAGACACCCGACTCTCTCAGGTTTGAGGGTGAGCCGGGGCTGCAGCCGTTCAGTCAAAGTTTTTACAGTCGTCTCAGGATTCGGAGAGAACCAAGGATGACTGCCTTCTGCATACGAGCCGCGAGAATCTCAGCCTGACTACGGCAGACTAGCATTGTTCGAAGCTCTGTCAGAAAACAGTCTCTCATCACTCCGAGGGAGCCAATCACCAAGACTATCACGTGCACGTTGTATTCGTGATAGACATTTCTCATAACCTCCGTGAGCTCTCTGTAGCGCTCCTGTTTACTCTCTTCTTTTGCACGTATATTTGTCTCAGCCGGGGCTGAGAACTCAATGTAATATACATGCTTGTTGGTATGATCGAAAAGAGTAATATCCGGCTTATTGTGTTTGATACGTTGAGGCGTAGAAAGCGGGTAATTTCAAAGAATTTTTGCTCTCCCGTTCTCAACGACTGACTCAATGTCACCGGGCACATAGGGTAGCACTGGTGTCTCGTCTATTCCAAAAGAAGGTGGTAATACAGCACTCTTAGGGCGGCGTCTTGTGTCCTCGAGTTGCTCGTGCATAACATCACGTCGGTAGGCGAGGGTGGAAAATACACCATCTTGGCAGGCCATAATGAATCCTTTGGTCTCCGAGAACAAGTCAGCTGACTTAAGGTATTGGAAAGTCAGCTGGTGTGACAAGTCCTGTGTTTCGAGATGACGGTAAAACACACCATGTAAGGACTTCGCTACATGTTCGTCGAACAGTTTTAACTGCTCGGTCGTTTTTATATCGACCTTTCGCTGCCCTCTGGTCAATTGCAAAAGCCTTAGACCGTCTGGGCTGCTAGGGTCGAAAACTGAGCTGAGGTTTTGCGCTGCCTGATATGCTGCTCTATATAGGAACGCATCCCTTCCCAATAGTTCGAAGCTGTTCACGGACTTTAGAAGAGGATCAGAGCTCTCACAGACGTCATAAGCCAGGCCTATCACTAACCTGTCATGTAGATACTCAAAACTTAGTAGTCCACGCCCTCCCAGATCACGGGGAAGTATAGGCGTTGGACAGAAGATCGCGGGTGATGACTTCGAAATAATGTCATCACTTTCCTCGTGATAATGTCCAGGTCTTTAAGCTCTTTTCGGAGCCATTTGAGAACTCCGAATGAGTATAGCAAGACTAGGTCAGCGAGCATATTCGTAGCTTTGACTTTGTTAGGGCCTGATATTTCAGAGACCCATATTCTCTTATGTCGCTACTTGTACTCACTGCGGAGAGTATCTTTAATGACAGACACGTCCTGTAAAGGAGATTGTGCCTGTCCAAGATATCGGTATGACTCTCCAGCATCCAGACGTTTTATGATGCTCCCGTCTGTAAGCTCGACATTATCACTCTAGTTCAGCGATCTTCCTTTTACTAAGTGGGCTACTGCGCACTTGTCTAACCCAAACTCCATGCCGATTGCACTAGTATACTCGGACACAACCTCTAGGGCTGTTCGGAGTCTCTATTTGTGGGGGTACTGAAAGGCATTAAAGCAAGTAGAGGAAAAGCTCGTGTGATGTTGTATCGAATGCTTTTCTGTAATCTACCCAGGCCATTGACAAGTTGCGCTTGTAGTAGTATGCGTCCATTGTGACGCATCGGTCCACTAGCAAGTTCTCCTTGCAACCTGTTAAGCCACGTTTGTTGCCACGCTGTTCGTTTATCTGTCTCCATACAAGTTCTATTGCAGTCAAAATCCTCTTGTTCAAAATCTTCGTAAACAATTTGTGGAGAGTATTTAGACATGCAATAGGCCCGTAAATATTGGGGCTAGACAGATCACCACTTTCGGGGATTAGCACAATACGTCCTTCAACGAGCTATCCAGGAATGGGTGTATCTCCTCTTAGATATTATGAGAAAATACGAGCCAGATGCTGGCGGGATGATGTCGATTTTTTTTCACCAGAAGGTGGGGATTGCATCTGGCCCAGGGGCAGCCCAGTTCTTTGTGCCCTTTAGAGCATTCCTGATCTCATCAATGCTGACTCGTTGAAACTATTTAGGAATTCGTGATAGATGTTCGTCACAGAATTCTCTGAAAAGTTGAAGGGCTGGAGTGTCTACATCTAGCGCACTCGCGCGACCATATATTTCGGTCCAGTAGGTTTCAACTCTTTCTGCACTTGGAGGCTCATAAGTGACAGGGGATTGCGGCTTAAGAAAGTGCGAAGGATCAGATTGGAACAATCTGTTGTCCCTTCGCCGCTTTTACCGCTTTGCTGATGACTTTTAATGGCCATTAGCGATCTTATTTTGCCTGTGTACCTCTCCTTTAGGATCAGTAACACGGCCGTATTCCCAGTGTGATGTTCACGTCTAATACTCGCCACGATACGCCGAATTCTTGGTGTATAAGGCCTGTAAGTATTTAAGTGATCTATCACACTTTGAATACGAGATGCACCCTGTTGAGCCTTTTTGATCTTAATTGTAATCTGTTCGATGCGTCTTTTTAGGCTTAACTCAGGATTAACAGGTGTTCGTCTGCCCTGAGTAAACCCTCGTGCCACATCATAGACTGCATTGTTGAGTGCAAAAAGGTCTACACTATCTGGTACTCGATGGTCGAGATCTTGGTTAGCGCTAGCTAGGTGTTCTGCAGAGAGCGTAATTTTCTGGAGAAAATTACCCTCTCTGCTGGTGAAGTCCCGTTGATTGGTGCCCTCAGGGGGAGGAGATGGGGATTCTGCAGTGAAAGAAGGGCGGAACGGGAATATGCTCCACCTCGGTGCGGCTGTCTCGGGTGCCAGTGAGACTTCGTCCTCAGTCTCTGAAGCGTCTGATATTGAAGAGTCAGAGTCAGAGTCTGACTCCTCTTCTATCCGCTGTCGAGACTGAGTATACCGCACCTGTGATGCGAGCACCGCCTGCGTTAGATGTTTTAACTCTGGGTGCATTTCGCACCACAGAGTATGCAGGTGCCTGGCATAGCCTGAGGTCTGTGGCTTGCGTTTCCCTGTGGATCAGGGAAACATCTGTGTGCTTCACCATCAGGTCCCGACAATGTAATGTCGCGGCCGTATAGCAGTGATGCAAGTTAATCTGCGAAATCTTTAACAGCCCCGATATCACAGGGATCTCGGCGCCGTTTGATTTCGCGTATTAGGAATGGGATTTGGGATACGGAAGCATAGGAAAGTGTTATTCCTACGTAGAGGGGCCAGCCGTATCGCCGTTCTCTTTTGTGCCCTCTCCCGTGGGAGGGTAACCCGTAGGTTCTGCTGCAGGCCTTACCATATCGGTCAGCCTGATCTGAGACAGGACCCTCCCCACCTTTGCCAAGTCCTGGTTCTTCGTGGGTCTCCTCCGTGCCCCAGGAGTTGGCGTAACCCGTCTACTAGTCTGTGGTTTGCCTTCTCCACAGTGCACCTTTTCAAGCCCCTGCAATGGCTCCCTCAGAGGTGGGGGGGGGGAGGTGGACCCTCTCAGCGTTTCCTTTTCCTTCGAGGTGGAGGCTGCATGCGTTTCCGTACGCCTTCTCTTTACTCTTGGAGGGGGTATCACCTTGGCGGTCCCTGCCACTGGTAATTGTCTCTTTCCGGGTGTTGCCTGTTTCCCCTCCACAGCTTTTGGCGCCTCGTAAAATTGAACTCTGCCTAGGCCGCAGTAAGAACTCATTCCTAATCCTTTCAAGAGCTCCAACGACCCGTTGTCCAAGCTAGTCAGTGTTGCCGTTGCCTTCGTGTTCCATACCCGTCAAAGATTGGTATGCAGTCCGGTGTTTTGTCCTTCGAGCCTTTTTAAGATCACCGCTGGATCCACCGGCGGCCCGAGAAACGTGGCGATGATCCTAAAGAGTTTTGGAACTTTTTCCCTCTCGAGAACCTCGAGGATTACTCCTTTCAAGACCTTTATGGAAGAGACTGTCTCCTTGAGCCATGTAGCTGCCCGTTCATCAGGACAGTTGATCCACAAGAGCCCTCTGTTGAGATTGTGGCCCTCGAATCCCAGAATAGTGCCACTTTTGATGGCATCGTCCAGGGTCCGAAGAAGTCCTGCCAGCACTAGTTCTCCTTGCTGCTTGCTAAGGGTTGCAGAAGGATAGAGGGCCAGCGCGATAGCCACCCCCTTGTCTCCTGCACCCGCTTTAGCAGAGCTACCGGGCCTAGGTGCTATGCGAGCCTTCTTCAATCGACATGTTGCGTTGGGAAGGGGGGGGGGAAGTGCAATCCTTCGACCTTTGCCTTTTGGTGTTACCTGCGGCTTCGGTAGAAGACCCCGACTCGGTAGAGCTAGTAGTAGGTCGTTTCTTACAAGGCAGCTCAGCTTGCACCTCGCCGTCCTTGCTGGTTCGTCCCGCCTCGGCTTCCCTCGTGTTCGCACTTGGTACTACCCGGACAATGCTTCTATCCGCCACCTGGAGACGCGCTCATTAGGTGTTCAACCAATGTTCCACTCACTCGTTTATAGAGATCACGGAACCCCTGATTTGTAGTCTATCAATTTTTAATTATTTATAAAAAAATGGTTCCAATAATAATTATGGTTATTAAACAATTCACTTCATAATAATAAACAATGGTCTTTCTAATGATGCATCCGAAAAAATTATAATGTTTTTTATAATGGTTTTTTAAATAATGTTTTTTACTCGACGTATTTATTTACAGTTCCTCCATCATTATTGCAAATGAGCTGTCACTTATTAATGTTCTCAAAAAATTGTTTAAAATTACTTATTAGTAATTATAAAATATTTTCTTACATTTCTTTCATTTTTTTGAATTTATAAATTACTTTTTATAGTTTTTTATCAAAAAAAGAATTCCACGCACTTTTCTCGTGCGATTTGGTACATTGTGCGTCTTTGTTCAACAATTTTTACTTAATCTAAAGTATTTTTAAGTTTTTCAATAATGGCAGTTTTTGTAGATGGATAGATAACGTTAGTTATTCTTTATTTACAGCTTATTTACTGGCTGACTATGGATATGATGTATGGTTGGGTAACGTCCGTGGAAATACATATTCAAAAGCTCACATTTCTTTATCACCGAATGATGCAGAGTTCTGGAATTACAGGTATATACACTAAAACTTTACAATATTAAAATACATTGGTGTCACTTTTATTAAATATTCTTTACAGTAAACTAGCGCAATCTTATTTAATCACTAAAGATTTTGAATTCAACATTTAAAAGCTGTAATATGAATGTTACGTTCCGTAACTGGATAGCAGTCTCATCTTTTAAGTTGCGAGAAAAATCTTCTCTAACTGTTCTGAGAGCAGAGACCTCTCTTATATTTGGTAGTAATTAACATAAACACTTGCTATAAGTTTTAAGTCGTTGTATTTGGGCGAATTCTTTTTTTTATACTTTGCATATATCTCTTGATATTTATTGTCTTATTATGAATAAAACAAATCTTGTGTCGTACTTCTTTTTTTATTTTTAGCTGAGATACTGCTCATCGCCTTTCTATTAATTATCTTAATTTTTTATTATTATTTTTCCTGACTTATCTTTTCCCTAAATGTCTGATGTATTTGGAAAAAAATCGACAACTTTCTATCTTGACTCCTTTCATTTGTTATTAACAATCAAAGTCCTTAGAGTTCTTAGAGAGTGGTAAGAGAGTAGAAACCTGCACTTTTTTTTAGGGTCTCTGCTCTCTTACTACTTTCTACCCTAAGATCTCGTATTGCGCGTAGATTTGGTGATAATCCATCTCACACAAAAGTGGCTCAAGTTAGGCATAAATTTCTATACAACCTCCGCCGTCCCTCTTACGGCCTAAATTTAATCATCAATGCATAATAACGTGCTGCATATACATAATGAGCACTTTTTTGTATGCCAGCATGTGTCTCAGATGAGACTTAAGAACTAGAGTGACAAGAGAGGTATCAAAAATTATTACTTTCATTTTTCTTGTGACTAGTAAATTTTATTACATATCAAGTTTAGTTAGTTACGTTCTTTTTTTCCAATACGTATTTATCGGAAATGAACTAGACTCCTTGAAGATAACTACTTTTCAGGACATTCCGAGAGCATTACATACTTACGATCAATATTTTTTCAAAGACTGAATGGACATTAATCTACATGAAATGTGATTGGAAATGCATATTAGTACACATTCAAACGTTGAAATAAACAAACATTTACAATCGAAATTTAACTTTAAAAAAATGTATTGTTTATTTTTTGACAAGACGAATTGTAATCGTAAAAGCATAAAGAAATAATCCATACGTTTGTTTTCGTTGTAAAATATATAAAATTTGATGTAGCACAACATATATAAGGCGCAGAAAAATCGGTAGTGATTTGTTGAGATACCTTGCTTGTATAGAACTAAACTTAAGAATTACACTGAGCTCTAATTGTACATGACGTTCTCTTGTATAAAACAGAAAAACTAAGTAAGGAGTCACAGTTACTTCAATCTTGACTATTTCTCTGTTGTAGTTTTCACGAAATCGGGGTATATGATATACCAGGTGTAGTTAATTACATTACAGTAAAAACACAAATGCCCCTCATTTATATCGGACATTCAATGGGAACAACTGTAGGATATGTAATGGCTTCAGAACATCCAGATGTTGCAAAGCAAATTAGTTTGATGATCAGTTTAGCGCCTGTTGCATTCATGAAACATATCAAAAGTCCAATCAGACTTATCGCACCATATGCACGTAATATCGCAGTAAGTAATCTTTGTGATTTTCAAGAAAAATTGAACAACTATTTATTTAAAAAAGTACGATGTTGTAAATTATAAATTTAGCACCACTTTCAATCTAATTATTGTCATCACTATGGTATTATTTTTTCATTGCAGCTTCTATCTCATTTGATGGGAATTAATGAATTTTTACCTCACAATGTTTTAATTGAATATTTGGCTAAATATGGATGTGAACTTGCAACGGTAGAAGAAAAAATTTGTCGAAATTCGATGTTTGTCATTTGTGGTTATGATAAAAGACAATTTAATGAGGTATTGAATTATATTCATTATTTACTAGCTCACCCCTACGACTATGTTTGCGTAAATATTTTTTACTCATATACAAAGCTACATTTATTTATCTATAATAATGGTATTTGGTATTAATAATTGAAAATGAAGGCTAAAAAAAAAGTTTAAATTTTTCAAACCATTAGAAAAAATATAGGTATGAAACACATCATTTCTTTCTGAACGCAATCTGACCATTGCAGAGAAATTTAATACTTTGTGATGAAAAACATCCGATTTTTATTATCAAACTCTATTTCTCATTGTTCGTAATGAATACAATCGTCAATGACATATATATTGTACAGATAATGGCAATCGAAATTTTATCATTAGACTGAATTTTTATTATTTCTTATGGATCTGGTGAAAACAGGTATCTTTAGATATCTGTAAAAATTTACGCCAAACTCACATTTTAATAATTTTCAAATACTTGAATTTGAATTCGTTGAAAAAAAAAATTCTAAAAATCGTTTACTTGCATGACGCGGAGAAAAAACTATGAAGTAAACGGCTTAAACTCTAGGAGTAGTCATAAAACAAGTGAGTAAAAATAGAGATAGTCGGCCTGTACAGGAAAAGTCCTTTTACGTTTCAGTCACGATATTTATGCGGTTTGACTTTGTCGTAAAGGACGAATTTCCTTACACGCCAAGTCCGTTTTAATTTATGTCATATCAATTAGAAGTTAAACATTAATATATTACTTAATTTTTTCATTGTTATATTTTTTAGTCCGGATGTTATAATGGTACTGTAATAATGGATCTATTTGAATAATATTTAAAAATTTCTGACATACTACATACATATGAAACTACCAGTATACAAATCGTACTCTTTGTCTATAATATTAAAATACTATTTTTTCATAAACTTTTTATAACATGCAGATGATGTATTCTAAATTTGAATTGAATTTTTTTTTTCCTTAAAAATTGTTTCTACTTGGGTATTCGAATCTATAACTACTCGCACGCATATGACTCAAACCTACGCTTTAACTCGCTGAGCTCTTGTAATCCTACTTTTGTAAACAGTAATATTTGAATAAAAAAAAAAAGACAACGATCGAATTCATTTACCGATACACAACTTTTACTTTAAGGCGAGTGATGTCTACATTCCAATATTCATAAATCTACATGCTAACAATAAATTCTTAGAATTAAATACGAGACAATAGTACGTTGTGTATCAAGGTATCCGCGTGCTCTATTATTTTCTCGGGCCGGTGACGTCAGCCGAGATGTGCGGCGCATGCGTACGGGCCATAGGTGAGTGCTGATGTCATCGTGTTCGAGGCGATGACAGGTTAGGTCTCGTGGTGCACACGGAACTTTATACATAACAGGTTGTAATAAGAGTAACTTTTCTAGCTGTAGAGAGGGGTTTAAGTACCCAATGAGCGACACGGTAAAAGAGCTCCTGTATAGTTTTTGTAAGCTATTGTAATCCGTCATCATTTATTCTAAACACATCAAAAAACATTTAGTGTTGTACCTTGAATTGATCATGGCGTTTTCGAGTTTAAGTTATTAAAGATTTAAGTAAATTACTTAGATCCCTCTTCACTTCACTGGTCGTTTATCGGAAACTCAGATTTCGATCTACAGACATAAAAAGTTACGTTTATCCTGCCTGGGTTATATGAAGAAAAGAGCATAAAAAATTACAAGATACGTGTCTTTGAAGTTTGAAATAACAATAACGACAGTAAACAGAATCACAATTCAAAAATTTCCAATTGCTATTGATTAATTATTTATAGTCACAATAATTACCGAATAAAATACGTCGTAATTAGCGACTAAATAGTTTATGATTAGTCAAAATATTATTTTTTGTTATCGTCATGTGAGCAAACATAGATATAATTCTTATCGAAGTTACTGATAAACTATTTTTGAGGAAAATTATTTCTGTCATTGTAATATACGGATCATTCAATGCTACTAACCTAATTCAATGCTGACTAACCCCCTTAATGTTATTCGGTTACTTTTAACAATATTTCAAACAATGAAAATAATGTAAACACCTGTACATAATACTGAAATACATTTGAAGAATCACTTGGAACAAATATTATTGAATGCAACGAATGGGTTGTTATGTTTGGGAGGGAGATCTATTATTTTATGAGGGAAATCTTCCCCTGAATTATGTTGGATGGGTGATTCTATAGATCACTAACTATCCTAACAGTTATAAGCAATTTAGTCAAGTTGTGAGAGCATGCAAGATTAAAAAACTAATGATTAATTGACTTATTACCTTCAAAATAATCGGGTGATTTGCGAATAAGCAAATACAAAAAAACAACTATGGGAAACGGTGAGTTTCCTCCCAATGTACGCACAGCTTATATCAATATTTACTTGTATTTAAGCGATCTTAAGTAATATAGATACAAACAGCAATCTTGATGCACTCTTGACTTATAAATGATATTACAATAATAATTAATTATGACTACGATTGACTCGATATAATATTAATAATTAAATGAGATAGCAACTGCCTAGTCAGTCAATCTCTCAAGTGCGATAGAATAAATGCTGGACTTACATGATGTGTTTCCGTCAGGACGATGAAGACTGCTATTCAGGATAATCTCGTTCGTTGTCTCTGGAACGTAACTGGAGATCTGGACTGCTGATAGACTGCTTGCTGCCAATGTTCTATCTTCTGCCAGACTTAATTATCTTCTATGACTTTACTGAGTATTGACTTTTACTGACTTTGACTATCTGTCTGATTATGTTAAAGACTATTACTTGACTCTAAACATAAACACTTAAGTAAGCGAATATCGTGACGATGTAGGAAGCCTTTTAGGCAATATTTCTCTGCTGCTACCAGTTGACTATTACTTGTCTGTTTGGCGCCTCTGGGCTGAGTGGCGTCCGAAATGCCGGCTGCTTGCCTCGTGGTGGCGATGCCCCCTTCCATTCTCCCGCCTCTTCCTACGATCAGCTCTCCTGGTGTTGATGGGCTAAAACTCGTCATCGAGTGTAAGTTTCCGTGGATAAGGTGGAGATGAGCCCAAGACATATCGGTGGTCGATGCTGTTATCTATTGGTCGAGCCCAACACGTCACAGGGTATACTGATATTGAAATGATGAAGGAGAATTCATTACATTTCGAAGGACCATATATGGATTAGGAACCAGAAATTATAGAAGACGAAAAATATGCATCTGCAATCCATGAACCAAAAGTGTCTGATAGAACATGTACTACTGATAAAGAAAGCTTAAGTCATGATAATAAATTGCGAGCAGTTGAGTATTGGCAAAGTGTTAGGCAAAATAATTGGAGTTTTGATAATGTTGAACAAAGTTTAAAAAGTACAGTCTATTCGACAATTAAAACGCTGGGCACATCAATTGAACCAAGGTGGAAGATACAAAGGAAAAATAGCTCAAATTTGCGAATATACGTTAGAAAATTTTAAAACTGTTATCGATGTTGGGATAATATAATAGTCCATGATTCCGATTTCAAAGATAGCCATTGTTAGCTGAAGAAAATTTAAAATTCGATAATCTTGGTTTTCTAGCATCTCTAACGTGGATATTATTATTCGAAAGAGCTTGTATTATTTTTTCATAGAATTAACAGATTCATATAATCAAAATCAATTGAAGATCGTAAAATATTAAAACGAACATCAAAAGTGCTCGATAACGATGTAAAATCGAAAATTCATTCATCCTGTTCAGACAACATATATAATTCTGATCAAATTGGCTTTCAATTAGAAGTACATTCGGAGAGACTTTTAGCTCCAAAAGGAGAAAAAAAGAATAGAGTGCACAATTCTCAATCGGTTTCTTCGACAACTCACCGTTATACTATACAACCAATGGTATCAGCTGATGGAAAACTCCTCACTCTCCTTTTTCTTGTGTTAAAAGAACCAACATGATTTACAGGTAGTATCATCGCCTTCGGACTGGATAATGTACACGTAGACATATTGAAACCTCGAAAACTTACTTTTGGTAAAAAATTCAATTCAAATATTATGTTATATGATATATTCTGGAAGTTTATATACTAATTTTTTTTAGAACACTTCAAAATCTGGTTAAAGGATGTTGTTGAGAATTAATTGATTCTCAGTTTGAATTTGCCAGCTGACAGGAACTTCGGCGGCCATCTTGGGACTGGGTCGATAACCAATCGACCAAATAATCAATAATTCTTAATCTAGTCATTCATTTGACTAATTTTCAGTGTCGATTTTGACTAATGAAGTTCCTGTCGCCATTCTTTCACTGTTCTCGTTCACGTGTACACGCCATTCACATTCTTTCTCAACAAATCAGAAAGTTTTGAGTCAATCATCAGTACTAATGCTATTGTAAATCATCAGAAACATTCAAGTTGTAGTCTACAAGAGAAATCAGTCAATAGTTCAAGACAATTCAACGTAAATTCGAGTATTTTAATTAAATTCATTTTTGCATTGCATTGATAGGCTAACGCCACGTGCACAATCATATTCTTGCTCAACTTGAGAAGCGTGCTGAGCTCGTGTGGGAGGTCAATGATACCGAACACACTAAGTTGAGTATTTTTTAGACATTCAATTCAAATTCAGTAATTACAATTGACATTCAGTGATTTCTAAAGACATTCATTTCTTGTATTCAGTGACAAAAGATCATTCAGTGTATATTGTGTACCTGTTAGTGCTTAAAATAAAGATTATATATTTTTTATAAAATCTGCCTTCCGTTTGCTCTGTTCCGGCACAATCATCCCTATCCTTAAACGGTTAGGCTAATTCAAAAGTTGAGATTTTCTCAACAGATGTATTTTTTCCGAATGTTGGAAAAAAAAGTTTACTTTTGATTGACTCGTGGACTGGACACTGTTCTCAAGCTGTCATGTCTGCCAAACCACTGGATAAAAATATGAAGATAAAGATTATTCCTTAAGGGACTACTGGACAAATTCAACC